CACACGATGTGTCAGTTGTCGTCTTTGTCTCGTTGAACACACGGTGAGTCTCCGTTGTCGTCTTTGTCTCGTTGAACGCACGATGAGTCTCCGTTGTCGTCTTTGTCTCGTTGAACACACGGTGAGTCTCAGTTGTCGTCTTTGTCTCGTTGAACACACGAGGTGTCAGTTGTCGTCTTTGTCTGTCTCGTTGAACACACAGTGAGTCAGTTGTCGTCTTTGTCTCGTTGAACACACGGTGAGTCTCAGTTGTGGTCTTTGTCTGTCTCGTTGAACCCACGGTGAGTCAGTTGTTGTCTTTGTATCGTTGAACACACGATGTGTCAGTTGTCGTCTTTGTCTCGTTGAACACAGGGTGAGTCAGTTGTCGTCTTTGTCTCGTTGAACACACGGTGAGTCTAAGTTGTCGTCTTTGTCTCGTTGAACACACGGTGAGTCAGTTGTCTTTGTGTGTTTTCTTGTGATCTTTTCTCTTCAAGTCTCGTTTCCACCAACACAAACATTAACTGTCACCCCTCAGGGCAGTGCCACTGACTGAAGTTTTCTTTAGGCCATTCCCAAAGGGGGGGGGGGGGCATTTCTCGTTCATGTGCAGTAGAATTGTAAATGGGCTGATTTATCAATGTCATGCTCATACTGTGCCAGAACAAATTGGGCGACTGCTGCTTTTTCTTTCTTCATCCATACTATCGTCATTTTCCCTCTACTTCTTTTGTATGTTTGTCACTCTCTTTTGAACTGCTATTTCCGGGGTGCCTTGATAGTCGAAGCAGACTTTGTGCTGTTGAGGCTAGAGAGGTGAGCAGAGTAAGCCTAATTCCCTGTATGGACTTCCTTGTTGACATCCACCCCTTGGCGCTCATATGACCTTATGCTGTTGCTAGTACCGTAAAACTGTTTCTTCTTTCCTATCGAACATTTGTCGTCCTTATCTCCCCTTCTTCTTTTTTTATGTTTGCTACTCTCTTGTAACACCTCTATTCTTCTGGCGCTCATATGACCATATGCAGTTGAGAGCGCCGTAAAACCTCTACTAAAATTAAACTAAAAACCTCTACTAAAACTGAAAACATTAACTGTATGTGGTTAGCAGGTGCTCTGGTGTGGTTTGCTCCTTCTGTCCTATAAAAAATCTATTGTCTCTATCTCCCCTCCTTTTTTGTCTGTTTTGTTGCTTCTACTGAATGATATATTCTATCTTTGTCTTTTCTAATGTTATTTTACCTCCATCCCCCCCCCCCTCTCGGAACAGGCTGGGGGTCGTAAGCTGTACAGCTCCCTCGAGGCCTCGTCAGACCAGCTGTACCGACCCCACTTCTCGCACGACGCCTTCACTGAATCTGAGTTTAGCCAGTGAGTATCGGGGAGCGCTCACATTTACAGTACCCTAGTTTGGTGGCTAGAGGTCTGACCGAGTGGGGAAAAAATCAGTTGCACCATAGGTTGAAGAACCACTAGTCAACTACCTCTGAGATCTACTAGCAGAATGTGGGTGGTTGGCGGGTGCTCTGGTGTGGTTTGCTCCTTCTTTCCTATAAAGCATCTATCGTCCTTATCTCTCCTCCTCCTTTTTTTTTTGTGTTTGTTACTCTCTTGTGACAGGTCTATTCTTCGGCACTTATATGACGGCATTGTATTGCAAATGCTGGAACACTCTTACTAAAACTAAAAGATGTAGCAGAATACACAAAAAAGAATTTCCAGTAGTTCTGAACTCCCATGTATACAAGCCAACAGGTAAAGCAGTTGTGCACTACTTTGGCATTCAGAGCTGATGATTTTCCTAATAAATCTAGAAATCTGGATTTTGCATTTTAATGCATACAGGTACATATAAAGGTTGCCTTGGTGAAAGATATATAAAATGACATGAATTGTAAATTTTGAGTCCTTGAACAAACTATGCCTATTTCTACATAGTGGGTGTTTGGCGGGTGCTCTGGTGGGGTTTGCTCCTTCTTTCCTATCAAACATCTATCGTCCTGATCTCTTCTCCTCTTTTTTTTGTGTTTGTTACTCTCTTGTAACACCTCTAATCTTCGGCATTTGTATGACTCTTACTAAAACAAAAAAATGGAGATACGACAGGAAAGCACTGAGGTTGCGATATAGGTACAAGTAAAGGTAGTCTTTCTACAAGATATATTGCACAATAGGAATTGTACATTTGGAGTCCTTGGACAATCTATGTGCGTGTCTACAGGATCTGAACAGTTCAGGATTTTTATGTCATATCCAACTGTCACCCCTATTTCTTCATCTGTTCCTTTTTTTCTTCATCTGTTCCATTTTTCTTCCTCACCCCTATTTCTTCATTTGTTCCTTTTTTTCTTTCTCCCCCGTGTCTTCATCTGCTCCTTTTTCTTCATCTGCTCCTTTTTCTTCATCCGTTCCTTTTTCTTCATTTGCTCCTTTTTCTTCATCCGTTCTTTTTTCTTCATCTGCTCCTTTTTCTTCATCCGTTCCTCTTTCTTCATCTGTTCCTCTTTCTTCATCCGTTCCTTTTTCTTCATCCGTTCCTTTTTCTTCATCTGTTTCTCTTTCTTCATCCGTTCCTTTTTCTTCATCTGTTCCTCTTTCTTCATCCGTTCCTTTTTCTTCATCTGTTCCTCTTTCTTCATCTGTTCCTCTTTCTTCATCCGTTCCTTTTTCTTCATCCGTTCCTCTTTCTTCATCCGTTCCTTTTTCTTCATCCGTTCCTTTTTCTTCATCTGTTTCTCTTTCTTCATCTGTTCCTCTTTCTTCATCCGTTCCTTTTTCTTCATCCGTTCCTCTTTCTTCATCCGTTCCTTTTTCTTCATCCGTTCCTTTTTCTTCATCTGTTTCTCTTTCTTCATCTGTTCCTCTTTCCTCCCTGGCCACTGTGTCTCCATCTGTTCCTCCTTCCTCCCTGGCCACTGTGTCTCCATCTGTTCCTCTTTCCTCCCTGGCCACTGTGTCTCCATCTGTTCCTCTTTCCTCCCTGGCCACTGTGTCTCCATCTGTTCCTCTTTCCTCCCTGGCCACTGTGTCTCCATCTGTTCCTCTTTCCTCCCTGGCCACTGTGTCTCCATCTGTTCCTCTTTCCTCCCTGGCCACTGTGTCTCCATCTGTTCCTTTTTCCTCCCTGGCCCAGATTCCCCGGCGATGACGGAGACGAGAACTTCATCCCATTGGAGCACACGTCTGTGTCCAAGTTTGGCCCCATTTCCCGCATGGCCAAAGCCAAGACGGACAACGTGGCGCCCGTGCAAGTCACGGCAGACGTGAGTGGGGAGACAACTCCTGGGATGTACTCACTTCTGTTAGGTCATACAAAAAAAACAACATCTGTCATTCTTATCTCCACTTCTTCTTTTTTATGTTTGTTACCCTCTTGTAACACCTCTAATCTTCTGGCGCTCACATGACCTTATGCAGTTGTGAGCGCCGTAAATCCTCTACTAAAACTAAACATGTCCAACGTCTATCGTCCTCATCTCTCCGCTGGTGGTTGGTGGGTGCTCTGGTGTGGTGTACTCCTTCTTTCCTATCAAACATCTATCGTCCTCATCTGTCCTCCTTTTTTGTGTTTGTTACTCTCTTGTAACACTTCTACTCTTGGTCACTTATATGACCTTATTGTGTGGCAAGTGCCATAAAACTCTTACTAAAACTAAAAACCTCATCTCTCCCACAACTTTTCTTTGTATGTTATTCTCTGTCTAGTGGGTGTTTGGCGGGTGCTCTGGTGTGGTGTACTCCTTCTGTTATATCCAACGTCTATCGTCCTCATCTCTCCCCTGGCGGTTGGCGGGTGCTCCTGTGTGCTTCGCTTCTTCTTTCCTATCATACTACTATTGTCTTTATCTCTCCTCCTTCTTTTTTGTTTGTTACTCTCTTGTAACACCTCTAATCTTTAACACTTATATGACCTTATTTTGTTGCAAGTGTCGTAAAACTCTTACTAAAACTATCTAGTAACACCTCTAATCTTCGGCACCAGTATGACCTAATTGTGTTGCAAGTGCCGTAAAACTCTTACAAAAACGTAACAAACCACCGTTGTGGCTGTTGACGACATCACATGACCCGTTTCTGCTGGTTGTTCCAGTCCTGCAAAAAGATGACCCCAGTGTTGGCCGTGACCCCCCTGGAGCGACCTCTGTCCTCGTCCACGCAGCGGCCCAGTCGGTTCAACCGGCTCAACGTGCTGGACGCTGAGCCCTCGGTGAAACCGACGCCGTCGGAAAAACCATCTATCTGGCAGTAAGTGGCTTGTGAATAGAACCGTCTATCTGGCAGTAAGTGGCTTGTGAATAGAACCATCTATCTGGCAGTAAGTGGCTTGTGAATAGAACCATCTATCTGGCAGTAAGTGGCTTGTGAATAGAACCATCTATGTGACAGTAAGTGGCTTGTGAATAGAACCATCTATCTGGCAGTGGTGTCGGTGGCCTAGTGGTTAGGCTACCGGACTCGTAATCGTGAGGTTGCGGGTTCTGGGGTTCGGGCCGCGGACCCGACGCTGTGTCCTTGGGAAAGACACTTTACTTGAATTTTCCTCATTTCACCCAGGTGGGAATGGGTACCTGGTCATAGACAGTGAAAGATCTTGTCAGTCTGTTAGTGTTTGAGCGCTTAACCAGCTGCTTGCACAGTATGCTTCTCGGGAAGCTGAGAATGTTTCTGAGTGTTCTATGGTCTGCTGGGGTAATAATATAGTGTAAAGCGCATGGAGCTTGCTTTCGAGTGGGGACATGCGCTGTACAAATGCCTTTTATTATTATTATTATTATTATTATAAGTTAACACTTCTATGTTCAGCTAGCCATAACCATCTGTCTGGCAGTAAGTGACTTGGTGGGTGGTTGGAGGGTGCTCTGGTGTGGTTTGCTCTTTCTTTCCTATCAATCATCTATCAGTGGGCAGTTTGTGGGTGTTCTGGTGTGGTCTGCTTCTTGTCCTATCAAACCTCTATCAGGGGGTGGTTGGAGGGTGCTCTGGTGTAGTTTGCTCCTTCTTTCCTATCAAACATCTATCACCCTGATCTCTCCTCTTTCTTTTTTGTGTCAGTTACTCTTTTGTAACACCTCTTATCTTCGGCACTTATATGACCTAATTGCCCTGCAAGTGCCGTAAAACTCTTACTAAAACTAAGTGGCTTGTGAATAGAACGTTTGGGATGTACAAGTTAACCCCTGGTGTTCAGCTAGCCACAGCTGGCCAGGAAAAAACATTTGCCGTCTTGTTGGTCCAATGAGATTTCCTCAAGGTTGAGCTGGACTGTTTGAAAAAACGAATCACTAACATTGACTTGTTGCCTCATTTCCTTTCAACGACTTCAGAGGCCAAATGATTTGATCAGAGGCCAAATGATTTGATCGGAGGCCAAATGATTTCAGTTGTTTCTGGAAAAAATGTTTTCCTTTTCCTTCCTTCCTTCCTTCCTTCATTTGTTCACTAACTTGAGAGGGAAAATAACGGACAGTTGATTCTTTTTCACTTAGTTTCTTTCCTTTTCCTTCCTTCCTTCCTTAGTTCAATAACTTGAGAGGGAAAGTAACTAACAGTTGTTTCCTTTTTCAAATTAATTTATCTTCTTTTTCCTTTCCTCCTTCTTTTGTTCTATAACTTGAGAGGGAAAATAACTGAGAGTTGTTTCATTTTCACTCTTTTTTTTTTTCTTTTCCTTCCCTTGGAGATCCCCCCCCCCCCCCCCTGAAATGTACATTTTCTCATTTTCTCTTCCTTCCTTCCTTCCTTCCTTCCTTCCTTCCTTCCTTCCCTGGTGCGTGCCAGACAAAGCCCGTGCCCGTCCTATCAGAACATCGCGATGCTCAAGGCCGGCGCCGCTGAGGCTGTGACCAACAACGAGAGGCTGGCTTATGAGCTGCAGGCTGTGGAGCTGGAGATTTCTATGGTAGGTTGGTAGGGACAATGGTGAGAATATTTGTTGTATATTGTCTTTGGGGCCATGTTCTGAGAAGAGAACCAGACTCTATTGTGAAGACTGCCCTCCACTGGACACCCGAAGGGCATCGCAAGAGGGGCAGACCCAAAGTGACCTGAAGACGCACAGTAGAGTCTGAAATGAAGTCCTGGAATCATTCGTGAGGGGCGTTGACCAAGATGGCCCAAAACAGACAGAGCTGGAGATCCTTTGTTGCTGCCCTAAACGACAGATGGCGTAACGGGTAGTAAGTAAGAGTAAGTCTTTGGGGCGGGCTGTGGAGCTGGAAATTTCTATGGTAGGTTGGTGGGAACAATGATGAGAATATTTGTTGTCTTCTCTATTGCACATTGTCTTTCACCCCCCAGGGCGATGCTACTCACTGAACTGTCTTTAGGCCATTCCCAAAGGGGGGATATTAACCATGTTCTTATGCACAGAAGAATTGTAAATGGGTTTATTCATCAATGTCATGCTCATAACTGTGCCTGATCTACAACAGGGAACTGCTGCTTTTTCATTCCTAATCCTTACTATCGTCATTTTCCTCTACTTCTGTTGAATGTTTGTCACACTCTTGTGACCTGCTATTTCTGGGGTGCCTTGATAGTCGAAGCAGACTTTGTGCTGTTGAAGCTAGAGAGGTGAGCAGAGTAAGTCTGATTCCTTGTATGGACTTCTCTGTTGACATGCACCTCTTGGCGCTCATATATATGACCTCATGCAGTTGGGAGCGCCGTAAAACCTCTACTGAAACAAACAAACAAACAAACGTTGTCATAAGGGCAGACTGTGCAGCTGGAGATTTCTATGGTAGGTTGGTGGGGACAATGATGAGAAATGAGAATGTTTATTGTCTTCTCTATGAATGGATGGATGGATCGATCAACGGATCAGTCGACGGATGGACTGACAGATGGACATTCATTTGTGTTTTGTGTGGAGATGAAGGTGTTGTAAAGCACCTAAGTTTGTATTTGTATTGTCCGGGAGTGCGTGTTTTTCACATTATTATTTTTTCTTTTTCAGAAAACTGGCAAGATGCCGGAGCCTGTTGGGAAGATAATCCAGGAGTCTGTGATGTATTCCCCGTCGAGGTCGAGCCCGGACTATCCAAGGTCGTCATCCACCGCGCTGATGGCTCCGCTGGCCTATGACAGGGGTCAGAACGTGAACTCGCTGATGGGACGTGGTCATGTGACTGAGTGCTTTTCGGTGAGTAAGTCAGTACGCGAGTGAGTCGCTACGTGGGTGAGTCGCTACGTGGGTGAGTCGCTACGTGAGTTACATGTGACTGAGTGCTTTACCGTGCGTGAGTCAGTACGTGTGTTATATTGTCGCGACATGAGATGAGATATTCCATCTTAGATGAGATAGGACACGCTAACAGATGGGGAGAAATAAGATGAATCAGGACGAGAGAAAGGATGAGACACTCTGAGATCATTTAAAGTAGTGCAACATTTAAGACATGTTGACAGCGATGCCAAATGTTTCTTTTTTTCCTTTTTTCCCGGGTTTTTTAATCCGTCTGAATTTTTCATTGTCGGCTTTCATGTCTAGAGAATATGTTTTGTTTGCTCATTTAAAAGCTTTACAAGGTTCGTGTTTAGGTGAGATGTGGTACTCCACTCATTTTCAGGTGTTTAAAAAAAAAAATCATTTGGCATACCGGTGTTAAGCCCTTCTTGTCCAGGGGGTGTACATTCCTACTGTCAGTAATTTTCAGCTGAGCTTGTTAGCGAGGACAGTAGTCTTATATCTCAGTGTTGAGAGACTGACCGTCTCGATCAAGCTTGTTCGTGACATATTCCGGACCTCGGATCTTCAATAGTGGTTTTTTCCTCGTTCCCTATGTTCCCCATCTTTCCCATAATTTCATCGAACTTGCAAATCTAAGTCAAAAAAGGACATTTTGTGCCTTTTAAAGGTCATTTTGGTGTTTATGTTTTGCGAGAGCGCGCAGTTGTCTGCGAGACTAGACCTATGTTTCTTGATGGCTGATCAGCCTAGCAGTAAACTACTACTTGCAAACTTGCTACGGATATAATATGTATATTTGTTTAAATTCCTGATACAAATCCATGCTGTGCTGGTGGCGAAATCTTCCTACAAAAGAATGAGAGACAGCTGATTAGCGTGCCGTACGTGTAATGTCGTATACAGGGATGAAAATCTTCCGGCTTTTTCCGTTTTTTCCGTCCGACTTACCATTTGGGCCCCAGCTTTTAACAAAAGTCTACTATAAACGATACATATTATATATATACAATGTATACTAAATAGAGATTATTTGTTGTAACAGAGGGAAAGAAACAAATATAATTTCGTCTCACTGTATTCTTATTTCAGTATATTTTCCGGCTTTTTTTTTTCCAAACCTGTTTACATCCCAGCGTATAGGCGTAGAGGAGTGACGCTTTTTGCTAACTTCTGTAATGTCCCTTGTAAGGAACAAAGCTAAAAGTTGCACATTTTCCTGATGCTCCCGGTATGTCATTAAGCAACAAAGGGGTTAAAATAAAAGAAGACTTTTTCAATGAAAATAGACAGGATGAAAGACAAGCCAGGGTAAGATAGGACTGAAGGAAAGACAGGAGGAGGTCAAATGAAAGAGAACATTATAAGATTAGACAAGGAAAGAGAAAAGGGAAGACATGATTTTAAAAAAGGCAAGATTTCTTTCCCTCTTTCATTTCTATCCATCTGTGTAAACACGTTTTTCCGTACTCAAACTTATGGCGTGGGTGGTTGGCAGGTGCTCCGGTGTGGTTTGCTTCTTCTTTCCTATCAAACATCTATCGTCCTTATTTCCCCTTCTTCTCTTTTATGTTTGTTACTCTCTTGTAACGACTCTAATCTTCTGGCGCTCATATGACCTAATGCAGTTGCGAGCGCCGTAAAACCTCTACTAAAACTAACCAAAAAACTCGTGGCATTTTCCTCCCTGCATCTGAATGAATGTCATTTCTGTCCATGTGTTTCAATGAGCTTTGCACTACTGATGTGCTGTTCCATACTCAAACGTGTGTTATTTTTCCTGCGTGCGTGCGTACGTGCAGCTGATGAGCAGCGCTGAGAGTCTGGTGTCGCCTCAGAAGGCCGCAGAGAGCGTGTTGGAAGACTTCTACAGGTCACGACACAGTGAGTGCTCGGATCGGCAGTCCAAGAATTAGGAATAAATGTGAAGCGTGCTGACAAAATCATATAAATGAGTTACTTCTCGCAGTCCACAAATGGAGATATTGACCAAAAGTCAACACTAGGGTCAAATTTGTAGATTTTCTATTAATGTCATGTTCTTTAACTATAACATGCCCTTTATTATTTCATACTTATAAACTGTGAAAACTTCGCCTATAAGCGTGGTGTATCAATTTCCATACGGCTCGAATCCGAGAAGTAGCTAATTTTGTCAACACGCTTCACAAATAGCATTTACATAACGCATACCCCCGCTCTACAGCCAGCTTTTTGCACTGTACAATCTTTGTACTATCCCAGCAGACTAGAGCCCACCTTAGAAATATTCTTGGCTTCCCGGGAAGCATACTGTGCAAGTGTTACCTGTATTACCTGTCCTGGGCAACAACGTCATTGCACACCGGACAGGTCCATAAGTGCTCAGTTCCCCCCAGCACCAAAGCCCGCAAGGTATCCATACTGATTGTTCCGGTGGCTGTCCACTGTGCAAGTGTTTGAGCACTTAATCTACTGCTTGCACTGTATGCTTCCCAGGAAGCGGAGATTACTTATCCTCAAATATCTCTTTTACAGGTGAATCAATGTCACCCGTACTTTGTTCAGCAGTTTGTATCAGTTTGTCTTAACTAAGTCACTTTGTTCCCCAACAACTGTGGCTCAAAATGCAGTTGTAAAGCTCATAGAGAATACTGTAGCCTGTGGATATGTTCTGCATAGATACTATTCTTGTTATGTGATTATTATTGCACCTGCAGGTGGCAGAAATTGGTGGGTTCCCTGGTGTGGCTTGCTCCTTACTTTGTATCAAACATCTGTCGTCCTTAAATCTCTCCTCCTTTTTTAAATGTTTTTTACTCTCTTGTAACATCTCTAGCTAATCTTCGGCACTTATATGACCTTATTATGTTGTAAGTGCCGTAAAACTCTTACTAAAACTAGACATAGTGTAGGGCCTACATGTACTTGAAGTAATCCTAGCATAGAAAATCACAGGCCAAAGAGAAGACTTTGTGCTGTTGAGGCTAGAGAGGTGAGCAGAGTAAGCCTGTTTCCCTGTTTGGACTTCTCTGTTGACGTCCACCCCTTGGCGCTCATATGACCTTATGCAGTTGCAAGCGCTGTAAAACCTTACTAAAACTAAAACCAAGAGAAGGGTTGACTTTGTGCATTTCTGTAGGAAAACTGTTGTTGACTTTGTGCATTTCTGTAGGAAAACTGTTGTTGACTTTGTGCATTTCTGTAGGAAAACTGTTGTTGACTTTGTGCATTTCTGTAGGAAAACTGTTGTTGGGTTTACTTTTGGGTAGTTTGCTCTTGTGACCTCACCATCAGATGTTCTCACCCCCCAGAGATCTGTTCCGCAAGGGCTACATTTCTTTTAATCTCATTTTCTCTTTCTGATTTTTTTTTCTCCCAATTGGTCGCTTTTAAGGACAAGCGGGCTAACCCAGATTTCGGGGTTTCCTGAAATCTTGGCCTACACCAAAAGTGGGCATTGCCCTACCTATAGGAGGAATTTGGCTTCATTGGTGTTTATTTGATTGGTTATAGAGAAAATTCTCCTAGTCTTTTAAAGAAACTGAACAAGGGGCAAAAACTTTACCTTCGATTTTCTCAAAACAACATTTTTCGGGATAGCCCCCTTGTGCTTCAAAGCGACCAATTTTCTCTTCATCTCTTTTTTTTTCAATTTTTTTCCCCCTCAAAATTGTTTTTAACACTTTGCCATCATATTTTGGGGAAAATCCAAAGAAATTTGGTTGTCAAAAGAGATGATGTGGCTAAGTGTTACAGAAGAAATTTTATGTTCATCCTGAAACTTGCTGTCGATGATTTACCCTATCTAGACTCTGTAAAGACTTATGGCTTGACCTTGGTTTTTTTGTTTTTCTTCTACAGACGTGCAGAAATGACACATGGTGTAGTCCGGGGCTGTGGGAAACAGAACGCGTGTTGTTGTGACAGTGTAACACAGAACACGTGTTGTTGTGACCGTTAAACTCAGAACACGTGTTGTTGTTGTTTGTGACCGTGTAAGACAGAACACGTGTTGTTGTTATGGAGCTAATTTGCTGCTGTGTTGTCATGGATGTGACAACAGTTCCCTGTGTGGGTGGGCCAGAGGATTCTCAAAGCCACAACAGTTTGGTTTTATGATGAAAGGGAAAGCTCGTTTGATCAAATTGATTTGTCCAGTATTTCTACGTGTGTGGAGAATATATATATATATGTGACAATTTTATACCTCTGCGTTTTAAGCATCCGTGTATCTTCTCTCTATCTTGTGACTGTGGACGAGTGGCATGACATGAATTCTTTCCATGTTGGAGAGAAGTAAGTGACTACGTTTTAAGTTGTCATTTTGTTACATTTTAGAAACTGTTTAGCTCTTACATAATAAGAGACTTGTATTTGTCCCTTTTTGAAAACATGTTTTTTAAATGTCATTAACATTCAAGTGGTGTGTGAGTTAAAGATGCCCCAAGGAACACGCTTAAAGCTAGTGGTGGTGGTGGCCGGTCCTAGCAGCTTGAGACATTTACTGGTGGAGGGATCGGTACAGCAGTGGATCAACTCAAAGAATAGGATCTGTCTATGACGAGGGCAGATGACCAATCTGGCATGTCCGACGGTCGTGAGACACGCGGTTCTGCACAGCGATGTGTAGACCTTGTTTTTATTCAGAAAGAGCAGAGGATGTGCGCTAAATTTTGTGAAACGATTGAAGTTGAGAAAGAAATAGAGATTGGGATGTTTGGCTCGGTCTCTCCTACTAAGTACTTTTTTTTTTCTTGAGAAGTGGACCACTTTGTTACGATGTCAGTGATTGGCCGTAGTTGTCTCCGAGAGAAGGCTTTGTCTCACTAGGCCTTGTCTGACACATTTGAAGAGCACAGAGGGATAAAGGGCGTAGTCACAAACGGAAACTTGCGAGGGTACCAATTTTGAACGCTGGTTGACTCATAACTGTATTTCTGTTCAACTGTTGGTTGATTATTGTTGTTAGATTTCCCATTCAACAACACTTAACAATAAACCACCAGTCAAACAAATATGAAGTTACGAGTCCACAAGCTTTTAAAATTTGACACCCTCACAATTTCCAGTTTGTGACTACCGTCGTTTTTCCGGTGTGCTCTTCATTTATTTATTCGGTCACACTTTGTTATTGTTTTTGTTTTTTTGCATGGATTTGCGTGATATATTTTTGTTTGGCTCTCTGTGGTTTGTCCAAGCTATCGGTGCAGAAAGAAACCGTCCAGTCTGTCAGATTTTGGTGAAATGTGATGTGATGGCGCTAGCTCCCACACTGGGAGCACGTTCACTGTGGATAGGCTGTGTTCATTTCTTCAATTTGATTTATTTCCCTTTTTTATCAGGGAGCTTGAAGAGGCTATCTTGTTGGAATGCTGGCACATGTGTCGCGACCTCGGTGCTTTCTTGTCCCGTCTCCATATGTGAAACGTGTTGACAAAATTAGCTACTTCTCGGATTCGAGCCGTATGGAAATTGATACACCACGCTTATAGGTGAAGTTTTCAGTTTATAAGTATGAAATAATAAAGGGCGTGTTATAGTTAAAGAACATGACATCAATAGAAAATCTACAAATTTGACCCTAGTGTTGACTTTTGGTCAATATCTCCATTTGTGGACTGCGAGAAGTAATTCATTTTGTCAGCACGCTTCACATTTTTTTTAACATTGACAATGCGACTTCTTCTTTAGCTCACTCTTTGTTAGTGGGTGGTTGGCGGGTGCTCTGGTGTGGTTTGCTTCTTCTTTCCTATCAAACATCTATCGTCCTTCCCTCTCCTCCTCCTTTTTTTGTGTTTGTTACTCTCTTGTAGCCCCTCTAAATCTTCGGCACGTATTTTTACTTTATTGTGTTGCAAGTGCTGTAAAACACTTACTAAAACCAAAACTTTAGCTAAAACTCAACTCTTTGTTATGAACTGTTTTCACTGTTTAAAAAAATGGAGATAGGACAAGAAAGCTCGGAGGTCGCGACGTGCTCCCTACTTGTTGGTGGGAAGGGGGTTGTTTCTGTGAGGATCTTTTAGCCAGCTCAAACTTGTGGGGGTTTTGTGAAGGAAGTTATGGGTGGTTGGCGGGTGCTCTGGTGTGGTTTGCTCCTTCTACCCTATGGAACATCCTCCGTCCTTATCTCTCCTCCTCCTTTTTTGTGTTGGTTACTCTCTTATTAATCTTGGGCACATATATGACCATATTGTGTTGCAAGTGCCGTAAAACACTTACAGAAACAAACAGAGATTAGGAAGTTGTGAGTTGTGTGCCCCTGCCCCCAGCAATTTTTCCCTCCGGTACATCGTTGTGCTTGTTGGACTGGCAAACTTGGTACAATATTAACCCTTCCAGCCCCAGCCATTTCGTGCACTCCCTAACCCCAGCCCCAGCCATTTCGTGCACTCCCTAACCCCAGCCCCAGCCATTTCGTGCACTCCCTAACCCCAGTCCCAGCCAGTACAACAGTGTGTCAGAAAAAGAGGCTTTCATTCCTTAAAGTGATGTAGTATCTTTGTAAAGAGGTTTAGACAATAACATATATATATATATATATATATATATATATATATATATATATATATATATATATATACAACAATGTTTAAAGGGGAATGAACAAATATGATGAACATCAAAGTTTCATCAGGTTCACTGCCATTTCAAAAAATGCGCAAGTTGGGTCCCCCCTGAAACTGAGAATATCCACTCTTGGGACGGTGGGAGGTAATAATAATAATAATAATAGATAGCATTTGTATAGCGCATATCCCCGCTCAACAGCAGGCTGTATGCGCCTTACACTATATTACAAGCACTGGTGAAGATGTACGTGAATGGGGCTGGAAGGTAAAAGGCTTTTCTTGTTAAAGTATCATATTTGGAAAGTGTAGATTTTGTCATGGTCCACACCCCTCTTGCTGTCACATTGCTGGGGAAAAGGACATCTTTGTATGTGGACACGTGGAAGGTGCTGCGTGGTCATTTAAAAGAGATCATTTTTCTGTTTGGTTCATTCAAAGTCGGCTCAAGTTATTTCTCTTCTTAGTGGAAATGAAATCTTGATTAGATCTAGAGATGATTAGAATATTCTAGATCTTTAGTCTGAACACAACGTGCTATTTACGAGGTATTATTGTACTTGTAAATCACTCGGAGCATGTGTTCTTTCATTGGGGGGGGGGGGGGGGCTGTAGAGATGTATATATAGATCTAATTATTTAATGTATTTTATTTTTGAAATAGGAGGCATATTTTTTTTTTTTCACTTTTGATCGTTGTTTTCATTTCACATTGATAGAAAAATTCCCTAGATCTTGATTGTGTTTAGTTTAGTAGAGGTTTTACAGCGCTGGCAACTGCAAAAGGTCATATGAGCGCCAGAAGATTGGAGGTGTTACAAGAGCAAAGAAGGAGCAAACCACACCAGAGCACCCGCCAACTTGATTGTGTATCTGAGTATCTGCCTTCTGACATGATGATCATCGTAAAGAGCCGGTTGTTTTGCCTCAAGTGTCGCACGCGCTCCTTATTTGCTGGGACTGTTTTTGTACTCTTTTATATATATATATTTTTATGTAACAGTTTTATATAATATTATAAAAACATCTTTGGGGTTTTTTTTAGTTATGAATAGTAACAGAACTGTTAGTGAGGGATCCACTGCTGCATGTTGGAGTGTCGCAGCAGGAGGTCGTGGACTGCTTTTTCTTTCCTTATCCTTACTATCATTTTTTTCCCCTCTACTTCTTTTGTATGTTTGTCACTCTCTTGTGACCCGCTATTTCCGGGGTGCCTTGATAGCCGAAGCAGACTTTGTGCTGTTGAGGCTAGAGAGGTGAGCAGAGTAAGTCTGATTCCCTGTAAGGACTTCTCTGTTGACACCCACCCCTTGGCGCTCATATGACCTTATGCAGTTGCGAGCGCCGTAAAACACTCTACTATATAAAAAAAAAAGATCTTGATTGTGTATCTGGGTATCTGCCTTCTGACATGATGATCATCGTAAAGAGCCGGTTGTTTTGCCTCAAGTGTCGCACGCGCTCCTTATTTGCTGGGACTGTTTTTGTACTCTTTTATATATATATATTTTTATGTAACAGTTTTATATAATATTATAAAAACATCTTTGGGGTTTTTTTTAGTTATGAATAGTAACAGAACTGTTAGTGAGGGATCCACTGCTGCATGTTGGAGTGTCGCAGCAGGAGGTCGTGGACTGCTTTTTCTTTCCTTATCCTTACTATCATTTTTTTCCCCTCTACTTCTTTTGTATGTTTGTCACTCTCTTGTGACCCGCTATTTCCGGGGTGCCTTGATAGCCGAAGCAGACTTTGTGCTGTTGAGGCTAGAGAGGTGAGCAGAGTAAGTCTGATTCCCTGTAAGGACTTCTCTGTTGACACCCACCCCTTGGCGCTCATATGACCTTATGCAGTTGCGAGCGCCGTAAAACACTCTACTATATAAAAAAAAAAGATCTTGATTGTGTATCTGGGTATCTGCCTTCTGACATGATGATCATCGTAAAGAGCCGGTTGTTTTGCCTCAAGTGTCGCACGGGCTCCCTGTTTGCTGGGACTGTTTTTGCACTCTTTTATATATTTGTATGCAGTTTTATAATATTATACAGACATCTTTGAGTTTTTTCGTTATGAATAGTAACAGAACTGTTAGCGAGGGATCCACTGCTGCATGTTGGAGTGTCGCAGCAGGAGGTCGTAAATTGTTGTGTGGTGTCGCTGACACTTGGGTTTTAGGTTTAGTAAGGTTTTACGGTGCTTGCAACTGCAAAAGGTCGTATGATGGCCACGGGGTGGATGTCGACTGAGAAGTCTAAATGAGGAATCAGGCTTACTCTGCTCACCTCTTTAGCCTCAACAGCACAAAGTCTGCTTCGACTATCAAGGCACCCCGAGAATAGTGGGTCACAGGAGTGTGACAAACATACAAAAGAAGTGGAGGAAAAAAGGATAGTAAGGATGAGGAAAGAAAAAGCAGCAGTTCCCCCTACGTTGTTCCGGCACAGTTATGAACATGACATTGATAAATCAGCCCATTT